TTACAGTCGACATGTCAAAATGTTCTGATGCGGTCATGGGGCAATTTATGAGGGAGTCAACGTATCAAACCTCAGCTGTCTGTCCCTGGTAGCCCCATCGCTTCCGGTCCATGCATGATTATTCGTCAGATCTATGATCATGCTTCCTTGGCGGCTAACCACTGAGGGTCGTCCCACTGTCAACCACTCGTAAACACGCCGGGTAGGCAATAGCTAAACTAAAGGGCAAACCCTCTTTACGGCTTAGTCGACAGTGGAAGCCGCCACTGCCGTCCTTACTTCTTCTCCTAAGAAGGACTAGAATAAACTTTTTTCCAACCGGAGAGCAGATTGCCCCATTTTTCAAAAGGTGAAACACCAATTAAGAGTGCTAAAGATGTATGGTCGACTTTTGGCAACCAAGAGGAACATTTCTTGGGTTATCTTACAACGAAGTTGAACATCATCTTTATTGAAAAGCGACATTTGGTGTATTTATATTTGTAAATGACACGCGCTGGATGAAGGCTTTACCTCACATTAGCCATCGTGTCTAGTTTCAGCTCCACTCGGCTGACCTAAGCCGTACCACTACTATAAGAAATTGAATTTTCTCCTTTTAAAAGTATTTTTAAAATGATAATGATGCGTTAGAGATTACTGTTCAGAAGGCGGCCAGTTGATGTAATCACTCACTCCTACGCAGAACTGAGAGTCAGACTGTAATGGTTCTTTAAAGAGGTCTTTGTAATACTCGCACTTGTTTAAGACTCGACAACCCTTGCATACCTTGCCTCACCACTGCTAGTTTCCAGATACGACTGCGCCCTGTCCGAGTCAGCAGTCGTCGCTACTGCTTGCAACTGACCACCTTATTAGCATGCAGAGAACATAAAAGCAAGAAATCAAAAATGGGAAATGAGCATATGGAACATGAAAACTACGATAAAGAAAATGCAGGTACGTAGTGAGGGCACAGAAATGTATGACTGCGTAATTATTTACCATAATGACAGCACATGTACTATAAAAAAACTAGACACACGTGTTTCACCGATCTTGTGCCGCTCACTGACGCGGTGGTGAAGGGTTCGTCTCGTCGGCGCGTCCCACGTGTGTTTTCTGGTATACGAACTCGTGTTTTAGCCTCTCCGGTTTCATTGCCACGGAAATTAATGCGCGAACGTGAAGTATATCCTCCGGAATAGACCTTTTAGTCTCGGTCAGATACTTGGGAGGAGCATTTGAGCCGAAGTCCATCAACCATTGCGGTATAACCGCGTATTATTCACGAATTGCTAACAGGTTCACCCATTAATTGCCGCGGCAATGAAGAAAAAACAGGCTGAAAGTTAAGTTTAGAAGCCAGAAAACGCACGAGGGACCTACTGATGAGGCAAACCCCTCGCAGCTGCGTCAGTCAGTGACACAATATCGGCGAAACTCGCGTGTACCTTCGCCCATCGGAAATTAAACAAATCGGAAAATGTATGACTGAATGGTCGTCGAATGACCAAATCATCTGTGTATTCCATTTTTGTCTGTTCACTAACTGTTTTACGATCATACTGAATGCCCGACTGACACCCAACTCATACGTGTGGCTCCAGGGGCTGTCAAACAGAATCACTACCACCTGGAAACCGCTTTCACTTATTAGCAACATTACCTGATAGTAGTTGATATGTCTCTCCAAAGTTGTGAATTGTGTATGTGAAGCCAAGTTCAGTTAGAGGGGAAAGGAGGAATTTACCTACCATATTTTTTGCACTCGTAGACGAGCTTTGCGTCAGGTCTGTCAATGTGCTTTATCTCATCATTTTGGGCTTTGCAATCACATTATTTGGAAACCATAGTGACCAGAAGCTTATGTGGAGTTGATTCTGCGCAAGTCACTTTCACTATAATAAACATCACAGCTAATTTCCGACTCACCTTCAGGCTAATGGCCATTCTAAACGTCTGCAATGGACTAGCTAAGCTCTCTTCCTCGAGACCCCCCTTTCTCTTTCCTATCAGATTTTAAAACGAGGTGTGAGGGAGCTGCTCTAAATGCCTTTGTAACTCTAATCCAGTTTGCGCTCAAATTGCCCTTTATCTAAGAAGTAGTGTTTCTCGTTTGGAACCAGATACATATTAACTTTTTACCTCTCCGACCTATGTATAACCAAAGGGTCCCAAAGTAGGTAAAAAGTTGTTCTCCTTTAAATGTCTGTTACTGTTGGTAAAATAGGTTCTATTACTGGCTAGCTCTCAATTTTTTACGACAGCAGAGTTTCGTCTGTTGTGTGTTCCAGTGTACAGACATCAATTTCCGCCGAATATAAGTATTTGTCGCGGGTAATATTGTGCCTACCGAGATGAAACACCCTGATTGGGTGTATTTACACTCCAATACTGGCGGCCACTGGTTTCCCACAGTGGCATTCTTGTATCTGCACCCGCTTTCTCGTTCTCATTAGAATACCTCGGTGGTTTGTCAGCCTGCATGTCAAATAATTATCTTGCAATTCACTTACCGCTATAATCGTAGCCAACTTCCATTATAGCTGTTTTCGGCTGGCTTAACCCTAACTGAAATATATTGTTTCTTATGGTAAGTCATTCAGTGGGTGTTCGAACTTTTCACGAAACCAAGACTCGTGCATTCACGTCCTAATCACGTGTGCGTCAACTTGACCTGACCCTCCGAGGGTGATGAAGGGATGCTGCTAGATGCCTTAAAATGATCATGTATCAGGAGTCGGCTTGATTCAGGACTTGCTGCTGTAATTGCATCTACTACTGAGTCATTTACTGATATCCCGGTCTGGTGCCTGCCTCTGGCACTTCTTCTGTTTTTGTCTTGTGCCATTTGACGCATCCTGTATCACAAGTCTGAGTTTATATTGCGGTATGTTCACTCTGCCATTTTGGTTTCAGGAACGTAATCGCTGCTCTGAAGAGGGCACATGCTTCATCTCCCACAAACCCTTTGCCACCCAAACCTACCGAAAACGGCTTCCTGACACCTGACAGTTCGCAAGTGAAGCCTAATTCACCGGGTGTGTTTAAGAGCTCCCCTGATTCCCTCCCCGAACCTCAAACCGAGCGCATGCGACCCTCGGTGAGACATGCTATAAACGGCAGTTGGCAGGATACCTCTAGCAATTTCGACGCTGGAAGCAGTGATGTGGATGATGCATTGTCGTTTGAACTCTCGGTTCACCCACGTCGTTGCTCCTCGCCTTCTGTTGCACCCACTCTTGAGGTAAGCTCGATAGGCCGCTCGTCTGTATATTTTATGTTTGGGTTTTTATCCGCTAACAATTTTGTCTAGGATTTACCTTCTTTTAACCTACTCTAAAGCAGTTTGTTTTAATTGCCTCTTCTTCTAGTCTTTATTCAATTTTGAGTTTATAAATAAAGGGATATAGGATCAAGTTTGCCAAAGTTAGAGCTCCGGGACAGGAATCGGCGAACACGTGAGTGCTCACCTGAACGAGTCTTTTGTCTTCGTTGTTGTTTCGGAGAGTTGGGCCAGCTCTCCTTTGTGCAAGGCGGCCCAGCTGTCGGAAATGTCAGCTTAGCCAAAAAATCTCGTTCCGGTGAGCATTCACATGTTCTCGGATATAGAATCAGCAGTTTAAATTTAGAAACCGGGTCTGTAAGGAGCCATATTTCCCGTGTGTTATTTTTTGTGTTTCCTTTCTCACGGGTTTGATGGCAGATTTAACCTGAAATCAAGAGGCTCAAGATCATATACTCATATTATTATTAATCGGTGTTCCTTGTTTCCGCAAATCCTGTCCGCCGGTTTTCATCTGAAGGGTGACCCTTCGCTATTTCAGCATCCCCATCGCACCAAACTAAAATTTAAATAGTCAAGGTACATCAAACGACGATGTTGTTAGGATATGTCTAACCAATCGGTGATTCCTCATAAACATTTGGATTTTACTATAATCGCAAGTTGCAACTCACACCTATAAAACGGGCCACGAGTCTAATTTAGTAGCCGTCACACCAGAAGCAAGATGAGCTGAGAATAGATTGAAGCCTGGCACATGGGTGGGAACTCAGTCAATCGATTTGGCACCGGCATACAAAGCCCTGCGCAGTTACCTCCAGACTTGCGTCGCTGAAAGTCGATGGGTTTATACCCCCTATAATTGCCCTTTTTGTCGCCGCTGTTAACCCCGACAATGATTTCCTGTACGGGTGTGAAAGCCCAGGACAATAAACAGACTGTTCCTGTGGTCAATCATCCTTCTTTACTCGTGCAAACACATCGAACGCGCACTTCCATTCGTGTACTTTATCGCGCCGAAAGGTTGAGTAACAATTGAACATGAATTGGCAGGATCTTCTGGGCATTTCTGTCAACAAACACACGATTCAGCACAAAAATCTGTTAGTGTCGAAAAAAACGTCTATCCTCAGAATTTTTTGACAACGAGCAGCCGCCGCCGGCGTTGCGCTTGTGTCTCAATATGTTTAGCTTTTCTGTCTGCGAAGGATGGTCTTCACCGCCTCATTCATGTCATGCCCCAGTATCGCCACTAATGGCAATAACGCATTAACCTCTCAGCTGAGACTTCTACCTAAGGTAAGTCCTATAGCTGCCCATTCCTCGACCCTGAGCCCGCTTAGATAAAACGTACCAAGATAGAAATCACTCGAGCACTGCTGCAAATTTCGAGCTGCGTCCGCCACACGGCTTAGAGGGGAAAGCGATGATGTTGTGCTCCTTCGCCTACAAAATGCCTGCGCTTTCTCTGTATTTTTCGATCCTCCATTCCTCCACAGCTCATCCATCTGACTTTATTTTTCGCCGAACTTAGGTCTTATTTGTCTTACC